ACTCTTGAATGAGTAGGTGTGTCCAAACTTTTGACTGGTACTGTATATCAGAAAAGTAGTTTCAAAAATATATATTTTTGATTGCCAAAATAACTCAAAATGGTCTTATCCATATACAATTAACAATGAATTACAACATGTCCAGTTGAAATGAAGAAATGAGCTTAGTTACAGTACACATTGTACGTGTTAAACACAAATAAACATTGGGGACATCCCAAATGGCACCCTATATCCTAAATAGTGCACTAATATTTACTTTATCCACAGAAACAGAAGTGTGTACAAGGCACACTGAGATTGTTATGTCTATCATTCATTGCAACACCAAATTCATTCAAAAAATATATATTCACATTGACTTATGTGAGCAAATGAAATTGCACGGTTAAATATAAACCTTTTTAACATTTGAAAATATAGTTAAATTTTTTATTTTGTACAGTATGATGACTGATTAACAAACATAAATACATTTTGTGAAATGAAATGCTGCTGCGATTGCTGATGCTGAAAAAACAAACTCTAACCTGTCACACCACCCTGACATAGTCTTGACACACCATGGCACAGTCATGTTGGGGGGGTGGCACTGTAAATAAAATTTTATGGTCCTCACATTCATCCCTGAGGGACACCACCAATGCAAAACCACCAGCAACTCACAGACAGGTGACACGGGACCAATAACATTAGTAAGCAGTGCAACCCCTGGTGCTCTTAGTACCAAATGGTACAGATTTAACACAGGGATTTGTAATGAGATCAATTTCTTAGGCCCCATCCCAAATGGACCCCTAGACCATAGTGCGTAGGGTCTAAGGGTCGGTCTGGGATTGGGCCTTTAATACACAGGCTCTCGGCTGCTCACTCAAAGCAGCCCCAAGAGAAGCCCTGTGCAACAACAGTATTGCTCTGAGTGACAAACACCACAGTGTTATATATACATTTACCCTGGCCCCAGATCTGTTTTGCTGTCACGCCAACTGTCATGGCAATTTCCATATAGGAGTTGGCAAAACAGCAAAAACAAGTCTGGGACCAGTCTATTCTCAATCTGATCCAGCCTGACATATACAGTGGGGAGAACAAGTATTTGATACACTGCTGATTTTGCAAGTTTTCCTACTTACAAAGCATGTAGAGGTCTGTAATTGTTATTATAGGTACACTTCAACTGTGAGAGACGGAATCTAAAACAAAAATCCAGAAAATCACATTGTATGATTTTTAAGTAATTAATTTGCATTTTATTGCATGACATAAGTATTTGATCACCTACCAACCAGTAAGAATTCCGGCTCTCACAGACCTGTTAGTTTTTCTTTAAGAAGCCCTCCTGTTCTCCACTCATTACCTGTATTAACTGCACCTGTTTGAACTCGTTACCTGTATAAAAGACACCTGTCCACACACTCAATCAAACAGACTCCAACCTCTCCACAATGGCCAAGACCAGAGAGCTGTGTAAGGACATCAGGGATAAAATTGTAGACCTGCACAAGGCTGGGATGGGCTACAGGACAATAGGCAAGCAGCTTGGTGAGAAGGCAACAACTGTTGGCGCAATTATTAGAAAATGGAAGAAGTTCAAGATGACGGTCAATCACCCTCGGTCTGGGGCTCCATGCAAGATCTCACCTCATGGGGCATCAATGATCATGAGGAAGGTGAGGGATCAGCCCAGAACTACACGGCAGGACCTGGTCAATGACCTGAAGAGAGCTGGGACCACAGTCTCAAAGAAAACCATTAGTAACACACTACGCCGTCATGGATTAAAATCCTGCAGCGCACGCAAGGTCCCCCTGCTCAAGCCAGCGCATGTCCAGGCCCGTCTGAAGTTTGCCAATGACCATCTGGATGATCCAGAGGAGGAATGGGAGAAGGTCATGTGGTCTGATGAGACAAAAATAGAGCTTTTTGGTCTAAACTCCACTCGCCGTGTTTGGAGGAAGAAGAAGGATGAGTACAACCCCAAGAACACCATCCCAACCGTGAAGCATGGAGGTGGAAACATCATTCTTTGGGGATGCTTTTCTGCAAAGGGGACAGGACGACTGCACCGTATTGAGGGGAGGATGGATGGGGCCATGTATCGCGAGATCTTGGCCAACAACCTCCTTCCCTCAGTAAGAGCATTGAAGATGGGTCGTGGCTGGGTCTTCCAGCATGACAACGACCCGAAACACACAGCCAGGGCAACTAAGGAGTGGCTCCGTAAGAAGCATCTCAAGGTCCAGGAGTGGCCTAGCCAGTCTCCAGACCTGAACCCAATAGAACATCTTTGGAGGGAGCTGAAAGTCCGTATTGCCCAGCGACAGCCCCGAAAACTGAAGGATCTGGAGAAGGTCTGTATGGAGGAGTGGGCCAAAATCCCTGCTGCAGTGTGTGCAAACCTGGTCAAGACCTACAGGAAACGTATGATCTCTGTAATTGCAAACAAAGGTTTATGTACCAAATAAAAAAAAGGTTATGCTTTTCTGATGTATCAAATACTTATGTCATGCAATAAAATGCAAATGAATTACTTAAAAATCATACAATGTGATTTTCAGGATTTTTGTTTTAGATTCCGTCTCTCACAGTTAAAGTGTACCTATGATAAAAATGACAGACCTCTACATGCTTTGTAAGTAGGAAAACCTGCAAAATCGGCAGTGTATCAAATACTTGTTCTCCCCACTGTAAGTACATTCTCAGGCCTCACGGCCAAGCCACAAATACACAAGAATAGAGAACAGGAGAAATGTATCAATTGGTAATAACATCTCAAGAGTATAGCTTTCAAAATCAGATTATTCTTCGACATATACACAGAGTATACCAAACATTAGGAACACCTTCCTAATATTGAGTTGCACCCCCTTTTGCCCTCAGAACAGCCTCAATTCGTCGGGGCATGGACTATATAAGTTGTTGAAAGTGTTCCACAGGGATGCTGGCCCATGTTGACTCCAATGCTTCACACAGTTGTGTCAAGTTGGCTGGATCTCCTTTGGGTGGTGGACCATTCTTGATACACATGGGAAACTGTTGAGCGTGAAAAACCCAGCAGCGTTGCAGTTCTTGACACAAACTGGTGCACCTGGCACCTACTGCCATACCCCGTTCAAAGGCACTTAAATGTTTTGTCTTGCCCATTCACCTTCTGAATGGTATACATTCCATGTCTCAATTGTCTCAAGGCTTAAAAAATATGTATTTAACCTGTCTCCTCCCTTTCATCTACACTAATTGAAGTGGATTTAACAAGTGACATCAATAAGGGATCATAGCTTTCACCTGAATTCACCTGGTCAGTCTATTTAATGGAAAGTGCAGTTGTTCTTAATGTTTCGTATACTCAGTGTAAGTTTCAACACATGTAAGAAAATATAAAAAAATTCAGCAACAAACATCACAAAAGTCTGTTGGAATAAAACCTTAAACCTCTATTATTATTATTATTATTTACATTTGGTGTATGTAGGTAACACTGATTGTAACATGAGACGTTTGTCTTATTGTGGTTTCGTCTTAAAGTATTTGTTTGTGTTTGAAAAGCATAAGCATTTCTTTACATTCATAGGAACCACAGTGCTGTTGTATTGGGAGACAGTCGATGGCAGACATGCAATTCCAAGAAAACCAAATCTGCATTCCAAATGGCACCCTATTCCCTATACAGTGTACTACTTTTGACCAGAGCCCTAAGGGCCCTAGTCAAAAGTAGTACACTATAAAGGTAATAGGGTGCCATTTGGGATGCACACCAAAACAAAAGACCAGACAGGACAGGATAGGAAGATCACCCCGTTAAGCAACAGTGGTTGGCTCATGACTGGAAGCGTCTGGAAGGAGAGGAGGATGGTGAAGAGGAAGAAGAGGAGTGTGAGTACAAGGATGAAGGCCAGAGGACTGATGAGTCCCGGTAGTTCTCTTGTTTGGCAGTCGGAAAGCCATTGGAGCACCAGATCAGAGTCAGGCAGGCATATTATGGACTGTTGCTTAAACAATGCTTGTATTGGTGAAAAGGGGGGCACAGTGGTTGGGGGGTCATTGAGTGAGATGAAGTTTAGTCCTTATTCCCTATATAGTGCACTACTTTTAACCAGTCCCCATAGAGCTCTGGTCAAAATAAGTGCACTATAAAGGCATTAACCAAGGCATTGACTGGAAAGTTGACGGACGGATGGGTGGACGGAGTGGTGATCAAAGCCGATTCTCCCCAGATGTCATAGAGGTCAGAGGCTACACTCTCTCCACTCGACTAGGATCATAGGATTCTGAGGAGAAAAAATGACACCAATCACAATCAAGTCAGACATTCATGATGATATTCCATATACAGTAATGAGGGATATCCTTACTGCCAGTCTGTTTGTGCTATCAAGTCAATTCTTGGTCACACATGATCATGCCAAACTGGCAAGAGCACAAACAGATCTGGGACCAGGCTAGGGAAATCCATCTTATCTAAAACAATGTGTTTCAGTAAGACCCAGTGTCTCTGTGGATTCCCAGCTCACACAATGGCTTGGCTTGTCCTTCCCTCCCTTCTTCCATCCACACCCGCTAAACCAACCCCATAAACTGCTCTATCATACAGCTGGGATAACTGCTAGGTTCTGGAGTGGTTTAATGGCAGGGTTCTCCCACAGTTTTGCTATAAAAACACCTAAATTGTCCATTTGGGTCAAAATGCCACAAAACCAACAAGAGCAGAGATTGCAGCCCTCCTTGTTTATCTGACAATGTTCTTTGTGTGTTTTCTAGCAGTATTTTTCTTTATCATGTATATAAATTCCATCCTGAATGTTATGCTAGGATGATAGCTCCCTCTTGTGAAAAACATGATCAAATGAAGCTTTAAATAAAACAGGAGATAAAGAATTTTACCTTAGCACAAAATACACGAAGACGAAGTACACAAAGTACTAAACGTATATGTGTATATTGTAGATTTTGTGATTATTTTCCCCCAGTGTAAAGCACTTTGAACTTCTGTATGAAAAGTCCTATATAAATATGTAACAGTTACATGTATTATTGTTAAAGGTGTGTGTGTCCATGTTCCTACCTAAGAGCAGCTCGTCATCCTCTAAGGTTGTAGAGGAGCCACAGGAAGAGACACTGAAGCTCAGGGGAAGGGTGATCTCTCTTTTGGCCACCGTGCTGCTGCGAGGCATGGGGACAGGCTTGGGAAGGAGAGGAGGTTTCACTGGCCTGGACACCAGCTCTGGCCGAACCTCCTGTTGCTGTTCTTCATCTGACTTTTTACTCCTCTCCTCCTCTCTTTTCACCTCTGGCTCTTTCTCTTCCTCCTGCGCTTCTCTTTCCTCTTCCTCCTGACTCTCCCTTTTCTCCTCCTCCATTCTCACCTTTAGCTCTTTCTCCACCTTGATTGTCAACTCTTGCTCTTTCTCCTCTATTTTCAACTCTTCCTCTAGCTCTTTCTCCTCTCCGGACACTCTCCTATCATCTTCTCTCTTGTCTGCCCTGTCTATCTCTTTCCCCTCTGGCTCTGACTCTATCCTCAACTCGTCCTCTTCCATCTCTTCTCTCTCTCTCTTCTTCTCTGCCTGGCTCATCCCTTCATCTTTCTCCTGCTCTGCCTCTGCCTCTCCTGAGTCTAAACTCCTGATAAGGACGCAGGAGACTGAGAACACCTCATCCATGTGGGCCATGCTCTCTGTGCAGCCTGGCGACGTAGAGGATGAGAGCCTGGGGGAGGCACCACCAATGTGCCCCTTCCTCTCCCCTCCTCCACCCACACTCAGCAAGCTAAGGGCCAGCTCCTCGTCTGGGGTCACAGGAAGTGACAAGGGGAGGCTGCTGGGGGGAAACTCTGGCAGGTCCAGCACCATGGAGGAGTGGCTTTGGCTCTCTCTGTCTCCTCCATCATGTTTGTCCTCACATACTGATAGGCTGTCATCCTTACTGGGTCCTCCTCCTGTCTTCTCTTCTTCTGTCGTCTCCTCTCCCAAGGTAACCATGGATACCTGTACCTTCATCACTTGCTCGTACTGTCTTCTCACATGCTGTGTATCTCTGTCTTCGTCTGGACTGTGCTCCAGTGTTTCTCCTATTAGAGTTTTGTCCTCATTCTCTGGGTTGTCTCTGTGCTCCTCCTCTTTCTGTTCAACCACGCCCAGTGATTCCACAGCATGTGCTCCTTCTGGACTGAGTTCCTGGGTCTCGCTCTCAATCTCTGTGTTGTCTCTGTGCTCCTGTGTTTCACCTTTGACAGTTTCTCCCTCATCCTCTCTGTACTCCTGCCTGTTGTCCTCTCTCTCCTTGACGAACCCCTGCAGTGACTCCTCCTCTCTCTGCTCCTCCTCTCTCTCCTCTACGACCCCCTGCAGTGACCCCTCCTCCTCTCTCTGCTCCTCCTCTCTCTTCTCCTCCTCTCTCTGCTGGACCATCCCTTGCAGTGAATCCGGGGCTACGTCTATCCCCAATATCCTGGCTGCTCTCTGTTCCATTGTCTCGTTCTCAGGGATCCCCTTGGCACACTTCACCTCATATAGATTACTCAGGTCCTCTGTGGGCATGGTGTTTGCCTTCTCTTTGATCAGCAGGGTCTCCAGGTGTATATCTGCCAACGTAGCCTCGTTACGCCAACTCAGAGGATCGGAGCTGTCACTGTATCTGTAGTCATCATCCTTGAACGCAAACGCTACCTCCCTGGTCAATCTGCCAGTGTGTGGCATCCCCTGCGACCCTTCACCTCTGGGCGACCTGCTGTTCTCACTCCGGGTCCTGCGGATGTTCAGATTGGGCTCATGCCCCCTAAATCTGGGTGGCACGATGGGCACGTTATCCGTCTTTACCTTCCTCCCCCCCTCCACTACTTTAGTGGAGCCAAGCTCTTCCTTATTATTGCCATCACTGATGTCCACAACCTCAACCTGGTTATTCTTGGTTAAAAATGCTCTGTCTCTGCTCTCCCTTGATAGCTGTACATTCTGACATAGTTCCTTGTGGTCTAATGGTGTGATCAGTGTGAATGGGGGGCCACAGTGCTGGCCCTGCTCTACGGGGCCTCCAGGGGCCTCTGTGTAGACGGTGAGCCCCACGTCCCTCAGTAGAGACTCCTTGGCGACGGGGATGTCCTGCTCTTGGTCCTGCCTGTAGGTCAGTCTGGAGTCATAGGTTACCCTGGGGTCACCATGTGCATTGCGGGAGTTGTAGTCTCTGAAGCCAGTGGGCTCTGTTAGGGTGGCAGTGGGAACCATATCCTCTCTCTTCAGTCTGAGGATGCTAGTCCTGCTCTGGGGCTGGGGCCTGGAGAAGGCACTCCTCACCTCCCTGTAGTCTGGGTCTATGGTAGAGCCAGGGCCCCAGCTGTCTAGCCTTGGCCTGATGGTAGGGATGTTGATGTTGGGTTTGTTATTCAGGCGCTGGTCTGGAAGGCTAACCGTCTCCCTCTCAGGGTCCAGATGCGGAGAGGCTATGTGCTGATGTTGTTGTTGTTGTGTGTCTTCTCCGCTCAGCTCCATGATGTTCCTGTAGACCTCGTCCAGGTCGTCTATACACTGGTCCACACTGGGTCTCCTGGGCTGGACCTTCTGTTTCTTCTGGACCTGGTCTAGATCTACGCCTGCGGCCTTGTTGAAACTCTCCAGCTCCTCGATGGCGTCCCACGGCCGGCGGCTCACCGGCTTAAGCAGGAACTGGCCGAACGCCACCTGGCCCTGGCTGTTAGCGCTGGCATTGACTGGGGGTTTGGTGGTGTTGGAGGTGGTGGTGGTAGTACCAGTCTTCCTGGATGTGGAGGTCTGTTGGTCTCTCCCGTCCCCAGGCCCAGAGGGTGGAGGCTGGGGTGGGAGTGACAGGGACTGGACCGGGCTGATACTGAGACGGGAGAAGGCGCTGTTGCAGGACGGGTGGAGGTTCTTCTGGCCCTTCATTGGATAGTCCACACCGTAGGAGCCGGAGCTGCAGTCTGTGCCCACACCGCTGTCCATGGTGGTGTCGGAGGCCGGGTGGCCTGTCTCCTGCCCCGGCTGTCCTCCCTGACCCTGTCCTCCAGGGGGACTCTGAGGCTGACCTGTCCCCCCTGTACCCCCAGGATCCTTCACCACCACGGGTGAGCTGGTCTGGGTCTCTTGGTTCCTGTATTGATCCCCGGGCCAGGAGCCGGCGTAGCACAGCTCCTTGTCAGCACTGGCCTGGAGTGACCAGGTGTCTACTATCTCCTTCCTCAGAGGACCCTTCCTGGTACTTCTCATTGAGGTGAAGCTGCCGGTGTGGGAGGGGGGTTTGAGACCCATGTCTGATAACGACTTGCTACAGAGGCTTTGGCTATTCTCTGATTTGGATTGGACCACAGTGTTGTGGTTGTCTTCTGTGGCGACGACGCTCACGATAGGCAGAATACTTGGCAGACTGGCAGGCATCTTCTCGTTATTGTTCTGGTCTGCTGCTGAGTCTTTATTGGTTTGTTGCATGTGGATGGGGATAGACACCAGGCAGAATATGGTCTCACTGTGAGACTTCCTCTTAGAGTTTCTGTTGTTGTTGTCTACCCCTGAGTCTCCTGGAACTATCTTCTTCACCTGTGTGATGGTTGTTTCCGAGAAGCCCTGGTCTGAGCTGGAGCTGTGACGCACCGACGGAGCCGGAGCCGGTGGCTGGAAGGCAGAGGGACCACCTTGGTTTGGTTTATGATTATACCTGTTACAGTTTTGGGAAGTTGCAGCTGGGAAGTTATCTAGTGAGCCAGTCTCTTTGTGCAAATCACAGTGCTGCTGTTGTTGCTGCCACCTGTTATTCTCATTGTCATAGTCGCTAGCAGACCTCAGCGGCATGAGACTAGCCAGGTCTGGCGTGCTTGCAAGTGGCGGCGGCGCCCCCTTGGAGGTGGAGGACAAAAAGGCACTGTCATCAGACGAGTGGTCTGACACGGTGACACTGGGAAGCTCGGAGGATGTGAAGTTACGGATGTGGCGGATCTTGTCGGCGTCCGTCATGGAGTTACCTCCGCCGCCTAGAGACGAGTTTCCTCCCCTGGAGACATGTCGGACGCGTGGGTCGTCAAAGGGGATGTACTGGACGCCAGGACCCAGGCCCGGCTGGTGCTGCTGCTTGCTGTAGCCAGGGTAGTGCTGCTTTCTGTGGGGCACACTCCTCTCTCTGTGAGGCTCCGGCCAGGAACCTCCGCCACTGGTGTGTCTGCTACCGAACCAGGGGTCTGGGGTCCCACGCATCTGCTGCTTCTGCTGCTGCTGGTACAACTGGTGGTACCTGATAATTACACATTATAATTTATTTAACTTCTAAATTGTACACTGCATTTACATTTATTTGGTCATTTAGCAGATTCTTCTCTATAGCGCTATTCATTACAGAAAACAATGTCAAAGTGCTTCAAAAGCAAAGTAAACAAGCAATATAAAATCATGAGTAGGTTAGCTACATAATTTCTTACCTGTAGTTGACAGGAACCTCTCCATAGCCCCTGTGACCTCCATGGCCCCCTCTCATAGGTCGAGGAGCTCTCTTGGGGGGATACGATGGGGGAGGGATATACCCCGGAGGCTCCGTGCCAGACCCTCCATCATGTGTACAATAGTCCAGACTGGGGTCACCTATCCTTGGGTGAGGAAGGGGGGTTCTGTCCCTGGCCTGGGGCTGGGGGGTTGATGCTGCTGCTGGGTCTCCTGACAGCGTTTCAGAGCTCCCCCGGGTCTGCTGGTGCACCTCGTAGGACGGAGGTCGCAGGGGACGGCTGAACCGGACCTTTGGTACTTGAGAAGCCTGACTCACTTTGCTGACCTGGCTAGCCATACTAGCCTGACTGGAGGGTCTGCTGTCGTTCTCAGGCCACCTGTCCCTGTTTCCTGCCCCGGCCTGGTCGTGGTTATATCTGCTGTAAGGGTCGTGATGAGACCCTGGGTGGCCGTTGACCCTCCTATACACGTCCTGCCCAGGCCCAGACCCAATAGACCCAGACATGTCCACATACTGCAGGCTGTCCGGTTGCAGCATCCGGGGCAGAGACTGGGCCTTCCCTTCGCTCCTGGGCCCCATTACAACCACAGCGCCATCCGGTATGCGGAGGTGGCGCTGCTGCAGATACTGCTCCTGAGCCTGAGACCACGTCTTGCCCTCGCTGTCTGAAAGCTGGCACGCGAAGCTCACCACGGTGGGCCGCCACTCATCCGTGCCCAGGCTCTGACACTTCCTCTCCACGGTGGTCATCCTCCACTGCTGCAGTGCTGCCTCTCTCTGCCTGGAGCGGGCCTGAGCTTGGGACTGAGCTGCCCAACACTGCCTCTCACGCTGCTGGCAGTCCTCTGGGGGCACCTAGACAGAGGACAGAACCACAATGGTCTTTGGCTCGTTCCCAAATGGCAACCTATTCCCAATATAGTGTACTACTTTTTAGTGCACCCATGGGCTCTGGTCAAAAGTAGTGCACTATATAGGACTATTTCATCTTTAATTGTTAAATAAACAAATCAAAGAATCAAATCACCTCCTGTCTCTGCTGCTGCTGCACCCCCTCTGTCCTGCTATTGTTACCACCTCCTCCGGGCTCTCTGAAGTCAGCGTAGTCCAGGAGAACGCTGAAGTCCTGGCCCCTCCTCCTCCAGTAGGACACGTCTCTGGGGCCCCTAGGATGATAATACACCCCTCTGGGCCCCTCATCGAACCTAGAACACAGAACACAGTATCAGAACCTAGAAGACACAGAACACACATTAGAACCTAGAACACAGAACATACACAGTATTAGAACTTAGAACCAATGGTTCGCTCATAGACCATAGAACCCACAGAACACACACAGGACACATCAGGAATAGTTATCCAGTAGATGAAAGTGATGATGTGTCTGCGTTGAGCCCCTCTACCACTAGGGGGAGATAGACCACCACAGACAGGCCACCACTAGACTACTAAAGTCAGTCTGCTACTGATACTGTACTGTATCTGAAGACTTCATAACAGCATTTCTGATTTGCAGAACAATACACTGTGTTTATCACCATCTCTCTCTGCAAGCTCACAATCTCTATTTCTGGATATTCCTACTGAACATGTTAACAAACATGCACATGTGTGCACCCTATGGGCTGATGGAGGCTGATTTTCCATCCATGATCTGATCTGCCTTTTTCATGTAATGTCAGTACAGGCAGGCGTGACCATTAGGTAAGCTCCACTGCATTCCATAATATATTATAGCCTAGTTAGCCAATCACCCCTGTATATATAGCCTCCCTACTGTCACTTTATTTTACTTCTGCTCTTTTTTTTCTCAACACTTTTTTTGTTGTTGTTGTTTTATTTTTACTTTTTTTGTTTAAAATAAATGCACTGTTGGTTAAGGGCTGTAAGTAAGCATTTCACTGTAATGTCTGCACCTGTTGTATTCGGCGCATGTGACCAATAAAATTTGATTTCATTTGATTTGACCAGTGGATATTATCTGCACCTCCTAGTGGAAAGATTAGGAATATTCCATATGTATGTTCTAAAACTAAGCTAAAAACACACCAGCAACAGCAATTTTTTATAAGTGGTTCATTTGATTATCTTCCATTTTCAAATCAAATGCACTGTTTGGACTTGAGGCAAGGGTAGGGAATATGCAGGTTGTATTATGTTGCCTAATATCATCAATGTATCCATGGATTGTATTCAAGGTCAAAAAATGTATGCACGCATGACTGTAAGTCGCTTTGGATAAAAGCGTCTGCTAAATGGCATATTATTATTATTATTATAAGGTCAAATGACTGTTCTATAAGCAAATAGTTCAGTCGTGGTCAAATGTTTTGAGAATGACACAAATATTAATTTTTACAAAGTCTGCTGCCTCAGTTTTTATTTGCCATGAAAATGAACTTGATCCCCCAAAAACATTTCCACTGCATTTCAGCCCTGCCACAAAAGGACCAGCTGACATCATGTCAGTGATTCTCTCGATAACACAGGTGAGAGTGTTGATGAGGACAAGGCTGGAGATCACTCTGTCATGCTGATTGAGTTAGAATAACAGACTGGAAGCTTGAAAAGGAGGGTGGTGCTTGAAATCATTGTTCTTCCTCTGTTAACCATGGTTACCTGCAAGGAAACACGTGCCGTCATCATTGCTTTGCACAAGAAGGGCTTCACAGGCAAGGATATTGCTGCTAGTAAGATTGCACCTAAATCAACCATTTATCGGATCATCAAGAACTTCAAGGAGAGAGGTTCAATTGTTGTGAAGAAGGCTTCAGGGCGCCCAAGAAAGTCCAGCAAGCGCCAGGACCGTCTCCTAAAGTTGATTCAGCTGCGGGATCGGGGCACCACCAGTGCAGAGCTTGCTCAGGAATGGCAGCAGGCAGGTGTGAGTGCATCTGCACGCACAGTGAGGTGAAGACTTTTGGAGGATGGTCAAAGAAGCCACTTCTCTCCAGGAAAAACATCAGGGACAGACTGATATTCTGCAAAAGGTACAGGGATTGGACTGCTGAGGACTGGGGTAAAGTCATTTTCTCTGATGAATCCCCTTTCCGATTGTTTGGGGCATCCGGAAAAAAGCTTGTCCGGAGAAGACAAGGTGAGCGCTACCATCAGTCCTGTGTCATGCCAACAGTAAAGCATCCTGAGACCATTCATATGTGGGGTTGCTTCTCAGCCAAGGGAGTGGGCTCACTCACAATCTTGCCTAAGAACACAGCCATGAATAAAGAATGGTACCAACACATCCTCAGAGAGCAACTTCTCCCAACCATCCAAGAACAGTTTGGTGACGAACAATGCCTTTTCCAGCATGATGGAGCACCTTGCCATAAGGCAAAAGTGATAACTAAGTGGCTCGGGGAACAAAACATCGACATTTTGGGTCCATGGCCAGGAAACTCCCCAGACCTTAATCCCATTGAGAACATGTGGTCCATCCTCAAGAGGTGGGTGGACAAACAAAAACCCACAAATTCTGACAAACTCCAAGCATAGATTATGCAAGAATGGGCTGCCATCAGTCAGGATGTGGCCCAGAAGTTATTTGACAGCATGCCAGGGCGGATTGCAGAGGTCTTGAAAAAGAATATGCAAATATTGACTCTTTGCATAAACTTAATGTAATTCTCAATAAAAGCCTTTGACACTTATGGAATGCTTGTAATTATACTTCAATATAGCATAGTAACATCTGCCCAAAATATCTAAAAATACTGAAGCAACAAACTTTGTGAAGACCAATACTTATGTCATTCTCAAAGCTTTTGACCACGACTGTATATACTTGAGTGGCATTGGGCACTGATATCATAGAATTACATATAGAATGAATTAAGCTATAGGATCTCCATGACTGATGTATGCTATTGACCGTCCTGTATCTACAGAGCTATTCAATACACAATCCTCCAGGACTGGTACTGCAACTAGGCTACTCGAGCTGACAAGAAGAAAGGCAGTGACGAAAGAAAAAGTGTCTCTGTAAAAATCCTACATTTTAACACTCAGGGACATTCCCCGGGAAAGGTTTCCATTGCATAACTCGTGAACTAAATTAAATATAGCAGCCAGCATCTCTTGTTCATATAGGCTACATATTTAAATGCTGTGTGCATTATTAATGTTGAATGTGTTATATAAGTGAGTTTCTATGTGTGGTGACTAAGAGTGAGGCTATCGATACGACGGGCAGACGTCCCTATCTGTCTAGATGCGTCCAAAATGGCACCCTATTCCCTATACAGTGCACTACTTTTGAACAGAGCTCTATGGACCCCCTTTACGTCCTGGTCAAAAGTAGTGCACTATATAGGGATTTAGGGTGCCATTTGGGATGCTGATCTGTCTTCAGAACTGGGCATGCTGAGACGGTGGTGCTGGGGTCTATCAGCAGTAGCAGCAGCTCTAGTCTGTTTACAACACAACTGTCCCATGTGGCAGATTAAGACTCCAGAACACATCATCCCAACTCCCTGTCTACTGGCTTTATAGAGAAGAGGAGGGAGGGAGGGAGGGAGGGAGGGAGGGGAGGAGCATTAACCCAACTCCCTGTCTATTGGCTTTATAGAGAAGCGGAGGGAGGGAGGGAGGGAGGGAGGGAGGGGAGGAGCATTACCCCAACTCCCTGTCACTGGCTTTATAGAGAAGAGGAGGGAAGGAGGGAGTTGGGGGAGGAGAAGAGCATTACCCCAACTCCCTATCTACTGGCTTTATAGAGGGAGGGAGTTGGGGGGAGAAGAGGAGCATTACCCCAACTCCCTGTCTATTAGAGGGTGAGGAAGAGGGAGGGAGGGAGAGTGGGGTAAGAGAGAGAGGGAGCGAATATGTGTTGCAACCTCCCAATGCAGAACTCCTTGACTGACGGAGTCCACCTTTGCATGAATCTATTTGTGCCAAACAAGCTCTGTGCAGCAGAAAAAAACCAACAACAACATTAACAAAGGCAACAACATGCAAGCAAGATAGGTCAAGATGGCGTGCAATGTAAAAAAACGACGGAAAACAACACCAGCATTCCAAAAGATACAGCAGAGGACATCCCCCCCCTGCACACACATACACAGACTCACCCGCTATCTGTCGTGAGAGAATCGCCCAAGGAATGCGCGTCACCTTGGTTACCGCTTTCGGCTTCCCTCTTCTGTGGTTGGCTGTTCCTGTCCCTCCCGCCTTTGGTTGGGGCTGGTGGCTGGGGCTGCCTGCTGGTGCTGTTGCTGTACACATAGACCCCTGGCCCAGACTGTAGCTCATACCCATTCACTGTTCCATGACCACCACTGGACCGGCTCTCTAAGATTTCCTGGCGGCAGGAGGACGGGTCACCGTAACGCTTGTTATCGTAAGAGGACGGGGGCGTGGGGGAGGCAGCAGGAGGGGCGGTAGAAGTGTTTTGGGGCAGTTTGTATCCATGCGAGATGAGCAGGTCATCCACACTGTACATGGTCGCATTTGTTTTGCTGGTGTTGTTTTTGGGAGGGGGTTGTAGGGGACTGGTAGAGGGGGCGCCACTCAGACCTGGTTGCTAGACGCAGTGACAGGAGCCCGAGCACAGCTGCGCAGTGGATGATGCCATCACTGGGAAAACAGGAGAGAAAGAGAGACAAAGAGAAAGAGAGAGAGGGGGGAGAGTTAGAAAGAGTGAAAGGGAAGGTACTGTTAAAACCATTATCCCTCTGTCTCCATGTCCTTCTTTTCAGAGAACCGCCCGACTGGACGGAGGCGAGGAGAGAAGAGAGGAGGGAAGAGAACGAACCAACCGCTCTGTCTGCCTCCCTGCCTTCCCTCTCCTTTCCTCTACTCTCCCCATCCCTCCTCTCCTCTCCTCTCTGCCCGACAACAGGACTCCCCTCTCCTCTACTCTCCCCATTATTTTCCTGTCCTCTCTTCTCCCCATCCTTCCTCTCCTCTCTTTCCCTTCTCTCCTCTCCTCTCTGCCCCACAACAGGACTCTCTCCATCTCAGTCCGAGACAGAGCTCTGATACTAAGCCCACCACATGCAGACAGTGGGAGAGGAAAATCGACAACACTAGTCAGAGCAAACCAAAATATAATTATTATCATTAGTAATGATAATAGTAATGACGGTGCTAGTGATAAATATAATGTAATAACTATGTAATAATAACTGAAGTAATAAGGACAGTGTTCCCTTTAGACCTGAGGCAGCGGTTGGTTGGCTAGCCCATGTTTGGTAAATCAGCGGTGGGGATTGGGAGAGTAGTCAGTGTTGCAGTGGCTCTTGATGTAACAGTCTTAGCGGTGCTCCCCAAATGTTGTGTGCTTCAGCTTGCCTGCACCACCAGGACTGTGTGTGTGTGTACATGTGTGTGTGTGTCCCAGCCTCTATACACATCAAAATCCTAATCTGGGGCGTAGCTATAATAATTACCCACCCAGCTAGCCAGCCATGCAGCTCCAGAAAGCCCTGCGGATATTCCTGAATCCTGGGCATATGCCTGGGTAATATGAGTGGATTACACTCTGCCTGTATTGTACTGATCTCTGTTAGTGATGTTTACAACAGCGTACTACTGGACAGATGCTAATGACAGTCTTCGTGTCACTCGATCCCAAACAAGAGTTAGCCTTGTTTTTACCAACACATTCTGGGACTAGCCCCATAAGCACGGATAGGAGGAAGAGCCTGTAGTAGTGTACTACTGTAGAGTAAGTTAAAACATTTTTATAAAGTATTCCTACATCACAACATACTACACATTGAGAAATGAACATGTAGCCTAGGCCTACAGTATGCAGCTTTTGCAAAGTCTTGTAGACCAGGCTCCGCATTCACAAAGTGTTTAGGTGTGCTGATCTAGGATCAGTTTTGCTTTTAGTTTTAGATCATAATTATATGGATTGGGAACCTGATCCTAAATCAGCACTCATACTTTGAGACACTTGATAGCCCCTGATTGGAGACATTGTGTAGCTGTGTTGCCCGTCTTCCACCTGAGCATTAGCGTCTATAGTGATACTAGCTAGGTGATTAAGTGTCTCTCTACTCTAGGAGCGTGAAATGCTGCTCTCTCTCTTTGTATGACCAGCCCTCTAATGCGATTATCTTTCTCATTTAAAACTTTAAACCTGTTAGTATTAGGGGATTGACTCTTGGCTCTGGTTCAGTGATACTTTGTCATGTTTAACTGTTGCCAGTTGCATTTTGGTGGAGTATTTTACATGGACAGGCACATTTCTGTAAGGGAGTATGGTATTTACCAACATTGCACAAACTAAATACTGGATTTGATTACTGATGAATTAGCTCACTGTCAAACTCAGTTTAAACCGCAAACTTGTTTTCACAATCTTAAATCCCAAATGATGCAAAGTCTCTCTAAACGCCATATGTATCCAAGCCTTGCCAGATATGACACTATGTAATCCTTCTACCCCCCCTTACCCCACCCCAAAAAATAAAAATAAAAATAATAATAATTGTAAAGTGGTTGTCCCACTGGCTATCATAAGGTGAATGCACCAATTTGTAAGTCGCTCTGGATAAGAGCGTCTGCTAAATGACGAAAATGTAAATGTAAATGTAAATGTAATGTGCAAACCACATTTTAACTGCAAACCACATTCCATCTGTACTAATGCTGTATACTAACTGCTAGGCTTAAAACGTGAGTGGGTTCAATAGTTCAATCAGCCTAGCCCTAGAGTTGTCTGTGACACTTCTTCCATTTATTGCAGCAACAAGTGAAGTGATAAACCATTAGCAAAGAGACTTTGTCCTAACGGCACCCTATTCATAGTGCAGTACTTTTTACCAGATCCCTATGGTCAAGTAGTTCACTATGTAGGAAATAGGGTGCCATTTGGTACAGAGATCAGAGATCTCTTGATCAAATCAGTGTTACACACCCTTTACTTCCTTCCTGCACATGAACCATTTCAGCCTCTGGTTTAACAGCTGTTTACTTCAAACACACAGTATCGCGCGCGCACACACACACACACTTTGTGTAATTTGGCAATGTCATAATATGATCAAAACTGAGTATGATCTATAACATATGCTACCTGCTGCCCCATCTAAGACCTATTTAAAGTCCTAAATCCACAATCGTAATTCCTGTCAGTCAGTTATCATCTCTAAATGGGGCTTATCTTCACCATCATAAGTCAACATCAGGATCAGGATTTCCTCTCCGTTCGTGACACTTCTCCTCCCCTCACGTCCCATGGCGAGCTCAGTTTAAATACCAGGGCAATTCCGTAGGAAAGTCAGCCTGAGCATCCACAAATAAAGTTAGTCATTCCAAAATGAAACTACGTTCACAATTATCCTTAAGGTCTTATTGTTGGAGTTCAGGCTTTATTTGAAACGTTTAAGTAGGAAATTGTATGAATTTACAGAGTAGGATGCCAAGTTTCAAAAACGCTTTTCAGTCAATCATATTTCATGGCTAGGGCCAGTTGTTTTGGCAGTTTTTTTTTGTTTTTTACCGGTATTTCCAGCATTATCCCCTAGGTTTTCTGCAAGTAGGAAAATACTAGGAAATGTTCTTTATTGTCTCCAATCAATCAATCAATCAATCAATCAATCAATGTCTAGTGGTGCGTAAGTGTTTGGTGGGGGGGATCCCCTATGCCAGGGAAGGCATAGCTCTACGAATCTTAATTGCACAAAGCCTATTATTTGGCAGGGAATACTATTTGTAGATCAGTGATTCTACACATCACTTTGCTCAAGCTGATCCTCTCCAATGGACTCGGACGTTGTAGCTAAAACTGGGTCAATAAGGGGCAAGTAATTGAAACCGACCATGAAAGTATGTTGTTGCGAATTCGGGGGGTAGCCGCGACCGAGACTCAAACCCGGGTCCAGCGACTGTCAAACGACTGTCAAACACATAAACCAACCAAAACAACTGGCCCCATTCATGGCTAGAAAGGGCTCACAGAGCTTGTTTTCCACAGCTGTCCCCCAGTGTTAGTTATGAAGATGAGATGTTAATGAAGCGATGCAGACCAAATTGAAGTATCTTGAGCGTTGTTTGTGTGTTCTACAGTCTTGTAAAGACTACACCGGATCATCTTGAAACGTTCACTGTAAAGCTAACTTTCATCAAGGTTTTACATGGTCTATAAATGGTTTCTCTCTTTTAATTGTCTGTATCCTTTTTTTAGCGTTATGATATCCGTAACATCCATAGCGATTGTGGATGTGATGGATATTGATGTATCATATCTTAGCTTTAGAAGCTTGTGCATTCACCACATTGTGTGTGCTTGTTCTAAGATATATTCTTCAGATCTTTACTGAAGCAATTGTTGATATCTTTGAAATGATGTGTTCTAGCTAGGATTCTCTTGGAAAATATATGCTGAAATGCATTTCTGATACATGGCAGTACCATTTTTTTGATAGAAAGATGAGAAGATTGTTGAAAAACAATCTGTGAATAGTCCTGGAGTGACTTTTTCAAATGAAAGCCCCCCAAAATATACTGACTTCATCCAGTGTCCAGAAAAGTGGATTGGCAGTATAGGCACATGTATATTGTCTTATTTGCATATTTTGTTATAATATTTCAGAACAATTGTAATTCAACAAAATCTTATATTTGTGTCTACATTCAACTGGTAAAGGTTAATTTGGATATACAGTATAAATAAAGAGAGATAAAATGACCTATTAGGGTGTGGTGCCTGGCCATGTATACTATTCAGGCTACCTATAATTATGTAATCCTAAAGTACTATGCCTTCAGCTGACATTTTAAAATGACAACAAATGTGTTATGATAGATTTTTTAAAGATTTGAATGTCTATTTCAGACTCTAACGGAGTGTGTAACATACATAACGGTCGTTTTTGACCATAAACTTACAAACTCACAGACTTTTGCTAATATGTCTCTCCAAAAAGCATGTCCATTTCATATAACATCGTTTGCTTTATTTCTTCAACACGCCAATATTTATACCCCCGCCCATCCAGTGGGGGTAGAAGCTGTTCAGGGTCCTGTTGATTCCAGACTTGGTGCATCGGTACCACTTGCCGTGCGGTAGCAGAGAGTACATACAGTCTATGACTTGGGTGGAGTCTTTGACAATTTGTAGGGCCTTCGTCTGACACCGCCTGGTATAGAGGTCCTGGAAGGCAGGGAGCTCGGCCTCAATGATGTACTGGGCCGTCCGCACTACCCTCTGTAGCACCTTGCGGTCGGATGCCAAGCAGTTGCCATACCAAGCGATGATGCAGCCAGTCAAGATGATCTCAATGGTGCAGCTGTATAACATTTTGAGGATCTGAGGTCCCATGCCAAATCTTTTCAGCCTCCTGAGGGGAAAGAGGTGTTGTCGTGCCCACTTCACGACTATGTTGGTGTGTTTGGACCATGATAGATCCTTAGTGATGTGGACACCGAGGAACTTGAGTGGAGCTCTCAACCCGCTCCACTACAGCCCCGTCGATGTGAATGGAAGCGTCCTTGGACCTCCGTTTCCTGTAGTCCACAATCAGCTATTTAGTTTGTCCATTCTGTGAGACAAAGTTGTGATTTTGGTTGCAAATGTAACGTTATAACGCTGGAATCATCCACCACTAATTATCTTATGCAGTGGAATTACCATTTGATATCAAATAAAAACCCTGACAGCAGAAGCTTGCCTGCAACAATGGCCCACTTTGATTCCCTCTTTCCCTAACAACAACAACATTGTGTTTTGTTAACAATGCGTACGTTGTGTTAGTGTGTGAGTTACAGTGAGGGAAAAAAGTATTTGATCCCCTGCTGATTTTGTACGTTTGCCCACTGACAAAGACATGATCAGCCTATAATTTTAATGGTAGGTTTATTTGAACAGTGAGAGAAAGAATAACAACAATAAAATTCTGAAAAACGTTAAAAAATGTTATGAATTGATCTGCATTTTAATGAGGGAAATAAGTATTTGACCCCCTCTCAATCAGAAAGATTTCTGGCTCCCAGGTGTCTTTTATA